AGCATTCRCTGTTCAAATTCATCTGCTTTTGTAATCTCTAAAGCATAGAGCATGTTGTTCACAAACTTTACTTTGTAAGAAAATAAACAAACTCAACTTACCACGCGTACTTTTATAAACCAAAATTCCTTCACCCCTACAACAGGTGGGAAATSCAGGTCTATTGCATATCTGCATGCTGATGATTGCTTTGCGAATTTTGCATTAAGAATTAGAGATTACAGATAATGCTTCTGACTACTACCCGTTGGAGACAGTTGCAAACAGTCTTTTGTAGAGTGAAAAAAAAAAAAATTAGTATCACAAGGCATGTCACTGTGAATTCGTTCCATCTGCCTAAGGATGAATGACACCAGTGTGGATGGTATCAAGTCAGTCTACAGATTTGCTACATAWACTTAGTAACCTGCAAATACATCAAATGAAGCAGCCCTGCATACACTGCGCACCAAAACAGAGCATATAATGCTTTGTCATGGGGTAAACCAGTCTATTAAAATGATTGTGTGTTCAGAATTAAAGAAGGCAGTCGATGATTTCAGCCAATCTTATTTCTTGGGTTTTTTGACTGGTTTTTTTCCTCCAAAAAATCTCATTTTGTGATTCAGGTTCCATTTTGCTGCTATTCGAATAGTACAGATTCTATTATTTTTTCATACCTTTTATTCTCTGATCTGTGGGAATGTCACAAGGTACTTTTTAATAGTAATTTCAAACAGCACACTCTACATTTCTTCAGCAAAGTGCAAACAATCTTTGCTGCTTAATATGTTTCTAGATACTCTTTTAACGATTTTGCTGCAGTTTAATGTTATTGATTTGTGGTCCTTTTCTGAGAGAAAGCCGGTAATACTCCAAACTTAATGAAATGGAACATCTAGGATAGATTCTCTACTTGTGTAAGCTGCTGAAATTGAARTATGCATGGTGAACTCTCACAGCAAGGTTTACCTATACATTAAAAAAATTACCAGAATAATAAATGAGATTAGTTTCCTTCCATTCTCTTCTGCTCTTTTTTTCCCCTTACTGATAGAGCTATAAAGCTCTCACTTGACACAGTGTGATTGCTACTTTAGCTCAGTTTTTTCATTTAAAAAGTATTAATGGCTTTGGTTCACCTGACCTAATATCAGTAATTTAAAAGGTAMATATTGGTACTAAGTTTATTAGCTACACTTCCTCCACTTTGTCATGGATGAACAGATGTAATGAGTTGTCTCTGCAGGTACCTTCTTGCATGGAGTGTGAATTCTCAGATGTCAGTCACAGAGTAGATGTTTGCCTTTCATTTTGCCACGTACAGCATCTGTCCCCAGTCTTTATCCAGTACAGGTATCTTAGTTCTCTGTCAAGCAGAAGTGTCAGAACCCAACAACTAGCAGAAACATCATCTTCTTTGTTTCTTTCAACTTAGTGATATATTGAGCATGATAAAATCTGAGCATTTTATTGGCAGCAATATTATTTATCCCGACATCCAGGTATTGGATTGGTCTGGTTCCTTGTGAAATGAAACAGAGTCACATAAGAGGCAACGGATTAAATAGCTTATTTCCAAGTGTTTGCTCTTTTTTTTTACAGAGTGCTTCTCTGTTCAGGAGAGATCTCTGTAGAGACACTTTATTTCCTGTGGGCTTTGACTTTGTGGTTGTTGGACCCCCTGGCCTCAAATTAATAAATGGCAGAAGATTGGAACAAAACTAAGCAGAAAAAAAATCTAACAATAGCCAAATGATTCAGGAAGAATGTACAAGAAATATCTCATTACTGCAAACTCCTACCACATTATTTTTTTTTCTTCTCATTATGAAATAATTCTTTGAATGAAAAGAAGTGTGTGTAGGGAAGCTAAAAATGATAAACAGAAATAAAACAATTGGCAGAGTGCAGCATCAAACTGCACAAGTGGAGTTTAAGCATTTAATATAATTTTAGTCTACAGGAGGGACAGAGATGCTTAGTCAAGTTTCATCCCTTCTGCTATTGCTRAGAACACACACTGAGACAGATGGTACAAATATGAGCATCTCAGGTTTTTAAATTCTCAAATGTCTTATGTCATGAAGACGACCTGTTTAGTGTCTGTTATTTGTTTACTATGGKATATGTGCACTTAGCCCCAAAGTCACATATTCGCTCACAGAAGATCCACAGCTGGAACATCAGGATAAAATCTTATGCCTGTAAATGCTTTTGTCAAGGGCCACACTCCACTCTGCTTAATTATTTTTCTGCAGAGAAAATTGTTCATRCAGTTCATTATTTGTCATAACCAGATATAAATATATTTCCTAGTGAAAAATGGAATTTTCATGGAACTAAATAACAAGCTAATTTCCTACTAACAGAGAACAAGATGCTAACAGTATTTTGAGTGTTTTTAAAATGTGGTACTGATTAATTCTGCATTTATCCAATGCTACGTTAACTTTTGAAAYCACTCAGGTAGCATTAAATCCTTTGTACTCCAGACCATACAAGCTTTTCCATTGCCTGCAACAGCAATAAAATGGGTTTTGTTAAAGAACATATAGCATCAATTGCAGAAGATAAAAATATTATAATATTTTGGTGCAAAATATTTCTGTTAGAGAAGCTCAGATATTTTAGTGTGTGACAAGTAATGGAAAAACAGATTGTATTATTTAAACACAAATAAATATGAACAAAGGTTAATTACTGCAGKTTTCCAAGAGAAAGCCACTCAATCATGGCAACTATGATACAGTTAACTTTGGGATAAGTAGCAGACTAAGTAATCTCTCTGGGTATTTTGGAGAGTTGTTTGGATAATTCCATAAAAGATACTTTGAAATATTCGTTCTTCTGCAGAATATTCTTGGTTCTGAGTCACATTTTAGTGATAATGAACTATATTTCTTGTCAAAACTCCTGTGGGCAAGTGGCTATGACACAGTGTGATTCAGCATCCTCCTCCTCAAATGAATTTCACAAAGTTTCTTATAACTGTATTCAATATTAGTACAGACTTTGATACTCGATGTTTCTCCTCTTTGAAAGATAAGTAACAAGTATTTTAACTCTTGTAACTTATTATTTTTACTCATTTTTTTTTCTGTATTAATTATAGCAGTTAATAACACAGTGAATCATCTCATTTAGAAAGAAGTGTGGCGAACACCAGTGCTATGAAATGCCACTAATCATTGTGTTTCCATTTCATGGATGGGAAATTAATTTTAGATTTCAGCCTTGAAAATCGTGATTTTGTTTGGGCTGAAGAGCAATATTTTCATGCCTCTTGTGCAAAATAAATTGACAATAACCCCCACRTATTTGCTGAAAGATTTAAGCCTGCATTTCCAAAATCTTGACCAGAAARTCTCTGATGCTTGAAGCTCTGCAGCTGCTCGTGACTGCAGGCATTACCATTCTGGGTTGGTTGGGCATCTGGGGACTCATTTCATCCCTACACCTGTTGGGGATCACAGGCTTCTGGAAGGAATTCAGAATTCATGAGTCTAGAGAGAAAATGAAGCTGTAGAGAGTGTCTAGGGAATGTTTGTCAGGAAAGTGAGAAGGGGATTGAGTTCTTGATACTGAATTTTTCTTTAAGTGAAGAAAACAGAAATAGCTCTGCCAGTAGGATTCATCATGCAAACCCAGAACAAGATTGGGGGTTTAAGGTGCTACTACACAGTATTGAGTAGACATAACCAGAAACCTCAAGCTGATTATTTTTACATCTAGAGCTGAGTGCTAAACACTGTGGCAACCACTGCTTGTGATTTGCTGGGATAGGGCAATGTGATTCCCCGTGGATGAATCCACCTTGCCCTACTTCCCAYTGATGATCCCTGTTGCCTCAATTAATTAGCTTTCTCCTATTCCTTGTTCAGACTCCCTTGCCCAGTCCCTGACAAAGCAGAACATATGCTGTGGTTGCTGTGTGGTGCTAGCTGTGGCTCAGTTTTATTTAATAACATTGTGTTAATCCGTGAAACAAATTCTGACTAATTGCTTCTCCACTGCTCTGCCAGTCTGTGAAAAGGCCAGCATCAAAAAGCATACGGCCAGAGCTCCCTGCTGAATCTCCACAAGCTTGGATAAAAAGCAGACTTTGGTGAATGAGGTCTGGCTGTTAGGGATGTTAAGTGTTTTGATGAAAGACAGGTGCTCATCATTGACTCAGATGATGAAGTTTTTGATTTTCACCTCAGGTGTAATGAACATAAACGGTTTTGACTTTGTAGATCATGTGAAAAACTCTCCGTCTTTGCCTTTTTTTAGCAAATCAAACTGCTTTCATTCTATTATTCGGTAAATTCTATTATTTGTYTTATCATAGAGAGTCACAGAATCACAGAATGTTTTGGGTTGGAAGTGACCTATAAGGGTCATCAAAGCTCAACTCCTGGACCTGTGCAGGACACCCCAAGAGCCCTACCTTGTGCCTGAGAGCACATTTAAATGCTTCTTGAACGCTGTTGGGCTTGGTGCTGGTCTGATCTGGTCTCCTCTTCTCTGTAACTAA